AGTGCACGCCAGCCAGGCTACCAGACTGGGATGCGGGTGCTTGCTTACTTGCCGGGCTGCCTGGGTCCCTCAGTCTCTGGCACATACTTCCTCGCTGCCAGGCTAGGTGGGAAGCAAGCCAAGCCATCGCAAAACAGTGCCTCAGTCCACTTTCGGAAAAAAAAAAAAAAAGAGAAAAAAAACCTCTCCAGATAGCCTGCCTCTCAGCCCAGCCCAATCGCCAGCCAGACCGGTGGCAACAATGCAGCTCTCAATTCTCCCGGGACGGCAACCAGAGAGTCCGCAGATGAACACGGCCCTTTGTTCTTCTTACTCTCTGCTCTCTGTGTAAACTCACGCAGACAGGCCTCTGCCTGGCGCTGCCCAGACGTGGGAGGAGAAGGCTACTGACCCGCGCTGGCCACCTACCGAGGCCGGTGTGTACCCCGGCTCCCGATGAGGAGGCCTCCGGCGTTGGTCCCAGACCTGCCGCGATGGTGGTAGCACCGGGGCCACCCAGGCACGCCCCGATCTCCACTCAACTCCCCTATACACCACTGCCCTGCCGCTGACCGGACTCTGTGTCTGTCACAATCGTTGCTCTCCAAACTTCATAAATGCTGTGGATCTATTAGTTCATTGCACTGTTTCTTAGTAGCTCAGCCAGGATTTTCACCCAAGTGTACACGAGCTGGAACACACTCCCTCCTACTCCGTTGCCATCTTCCTTCCTCTACCTGGATCTTTTGTATTCTGTTGAACTCTTTACTAGGTTCCTTGAGCAGCCTTATAACCAGTATTTTGAACTCTGCATTTGACAGAGTGCTTATCTTCATTTTGTTTAGGTTTTTTTTCTGGAGTTTTATTGTCGGTTCTTTGATTTGGGCCTTGTTTCTTTGTCTACTCATTTTGGAAGCCTTCCTGGGTTTCTTTCTCTGTTTTAGGTAGAGCTGCTATGACTCCCTGTATTAGCAGAGTGGCTTAATGCTATAGGTGTTCTGTAGGGTCCAGTAGCACAGCTTCCTCTGTCACCCAAGCTGGGTACTCCAGGTGTGCAATTCGTATGGGCCAAGTATAATCTCTTCTTGTAGTTGAGCCTTGGTTGCTCCTGGCAGATTAATGGGAATGATTTCTGCAGGCCAGTCACCTACAAGGATTGGCTGTGACCACTTACCACAAACCTCCACCCTGTGTGGAAGATCAGCTGTGCAGGAGCAAGGAGAAGGTGCTCTGACTTGGTCTGTAGCTGTCCACTGGATGCATAGGCTCTGAGGTTTCTCATGTGGTGCAGGACAAGCTTAGCCACCTCCTGTGTTCTGCCTGAAGCTACCTTGCATGAGGTATAATGCAATGTGAGATGACTACTACCTCTGCTGGGCTTGGAGGTTCCCATCCAAAGCTAATGTCTGAATCAAGGCTGGCTGCTGTTAGTGCCACTTAGCAAGAGGTATGGGGAATGGTGGCTCACTGAGGCTGGCTGTAGCTTGTTTGATATGATTAGAAAGTTGTGAAGCATGAGGCAAGACCAGCCATTCATATGGAAAAGCCACTGTTAAAAGCTTGGGTGGGCTCATAAGTTGAGTGAGACAGAGTGTCAGGGGATCTCTAGGGCAGGGCAAACAGTGTAAGGCAGGTTGATGGAGTCTCAGATATGGCACCCAGGTGTGAAGTCTGTGGCTTTGTGGAGGGAGGATTCAGAAAAGGGACAGTGGGCTCTGCCTGCCTTTTTGTCTGGAAGAAAACTGTTCCCCAGCTCTCACCTTGATGCCAGACACTTCAGTTTCTCCCAGTATGCCACTGGTGCCTCTCCAACTGCCAACCCAGTGCTGCAGCCCAGAGGGAGTGAGCCTAAATCTGTATGTGTTTTCTTTAAGAAGAAGTTTTTGATATTCTAGAAGTTTCTTCCCTCAACTCAATCTCCACTTGTTTTTGCAGACAGAAGTTATGGACACTTGTCTTCCTGACACTAGAACTCTGGGCTGGGGGCTGTTGGGGGGCTTGGACTCCTCGCTCCTGAGACATTCCTCTCAAATTTTTATCCACCACATGTGGATGGGGCACCAGCCTGTTCCACATCTACCTTACACTGGTCTGGATGGATGTGGTTTCTTTAATTCCGTAGTTGTCGGACTTCCACTCAACTCAATTTCTGAGAGATCTGAGTGATCATTGTTCTATAGTTCAGTTGTAATTTTGATGTGGTTGTGCAAGGAGGAGAGCTGTGTTTACCTATGCTACCATCTTGATCTCATTGATGAGTCTTAAATGAGAAGATTATCACAAATGTGATGGCCAGATGGTAATTTTACAAATCGTATTTTTCTTGTATGTTCATTAATTGTGTCTGTCATAAGAAAGAAGTTACCCTTATTCCCCACTCATTTGTTTTCTATTTGTTTATATCTCTATGGACCCATGGATTTTAACTTATTATTCTCTGAGTTATAATCCATTACTATTGTTATTAATTTTGAATCTCTAGGTGTGTTTATTGTTTCTGAGGATTCTAAATAATATCAGAGAAGTCAATGAGAGAATATATATAAAAGGAACACAGAAAGTAAAAAGCCTAAAGCAGTGTCTACCCGTTGAGATGGGTCAGGAGTGGGGCAAAAAGAATGAGGGATGGGAACAGTGTAGAATATATATATATATATAAGTTTTCATCTATTTATAATTTTTAAAACTCATTATTCTGAACAGATATACAATTTTAGTTTAACACCCAAGAGTCCTTTGCAGTTTCTACTTTTCTACATGTATAGTACCTCTTTTATGAGAGTGAGGAGTCACTCCCTTCACCTCAGTGTTTACTTATTTGCTGTATGTTTTGACACATGGGAAGTAGTTCAGAATCTTAAACTCCTACATGAGACTGTTAATCAAACACTAATCACAGCTTAAGATTTTGTTTCCAGTTTCTTGTTTTCTTTTTTTATTGTGAAGTATATAGAGAAAATTCTGGGTTCAAGAATTACTACAGTACTTATATTATTTCTCTCTTTAGTCTAATTATGGTATGCATTTAAGATACAGTTAGGTTCATTTCTATTCTTGATTCTATTTTGCCTTATGCATCTCCTTTTCTATTTCTTTTCTAGTCGCAAAACACAACATGGTCATAACTACACTAATAATTATAACCATCTCCCATCATTTCTGTCCAACTTCTCTGGGTAAACCACCTCATTAGTATTTAATTTATACTTCCTGTTTTCCTTTTTGCTCAAATGAGCCGATATATGTGTATTTTATTTCCCTTTAATTTTTACAAAAATTACAATGCTCTAAGTACCCTTTGGCACATTCCTTGTTTCTATTTAACAGTATATCCACATGTTTCTCCATATTGATTCATAGGTATCTGTGGTTTTATTTTTTCACAGTTTCAAATTACTCAGTTTCATTGATGCTCTATAGAGTTTTTTTCAGGCATCCTAAAATGAGATATCAGTGATGAGTCTCCTAAATGCCATTGAATTGTGTATAATAGAAGGCTTAACTGGTCAATGTCGGGTTTTGTATATTAAACTTTATTTAAAAACTGAAAAAGAAGTAAGAAGTAATCTCTGCATACAGCACATAAAAGAATTATAAAATAATAACAATGTATGATTAATAACTTAGTAGAGGCATAATGGAATATCAAAATATATATAATTAATCAAAAGGGAGGAAGACAGGAGAGAATAAATGTGAAACAGGTCTATCAAATAGTTAAGGGAAAAATATAAACTCAAATACATTATGATTACTTTAGATGTCAATAGAGAAATAGCTCCAGAAATAACAATTGTTGCTGCATATAAAAGAGCAAAATCCAACTTTACATACACCATTGACAAAAGGACACCTCACTGACAGTGTGGACACAGAAAAGTCTAAAGTGATGGGGAAAAATATCATGTAAAACCTCACATGAGAAAAGCTGCATCTTTACTAGGTATACTATAGTAATACCTATATCTAGATTTATGTCTATAATGCATCTATACCTACAGGTATAAAGCATCAATATTAATATGAGAAGTAGATGAACTATTAATGGAGGCCCTGTTGCTAGAAATATCTGTATCCTAATCTATATTTATATATCTCTATCTGTGTATGCATCTATGTCTATAGACAAAAAGCATCAATATTAATATGAGAAGTAGATTAAGTATTAATGCATGACCCATTGCTAGAAATATCTCCTCATTTTAAACAAAGTAGAGTGCTCTAGGCCCTGGCTGGTATAGCTCAGTGGATTGAGTGTGAGCTGCGAACTGAAATGTTGTGGGTTTGACTCCCAGTCAGGGCACATGCCTGGCTTGTGGGCCAGGTCCCCAGTGGGGGCCACATGAGAAGCAACCACACACTGATATCCCTCCCTCCCTTCCCCTCTCTCTAAAAATAAATGAATAAATCTTAAAGAAAGTAAAGTGCTTTAAATGTATTTTTTAAGAGTCTGTCTCTCCCTGATTGAACTTTTTCTTTGTAGCACATATGAATTTTCATAGTATAATTATTCTGATCATGGGTGATTGTAGTGAACCAGCATGATGTCATTGAATGTGACTTGGGAAGACATGCCCACAATCAGCTTGAAGCCAAAAAAAGCCAGCACACAAAAGACAGTTTAAAAAAATTAAAAATAAACTAAGAAGTAATCTCTGCATACAGCACAGAAAAGAATGAAAAAATAATAGTAATAATAAAAAGAATGATGAAATAATAATAATGAATGATTAATAAGTTAGTAGAGGAGTAATGGAATATCAAAATACACATAAGTAATCAAAAGGAAGAAACACACCAGTAGTAAATCATGACACTAAATCAGTATGTCTTCATAAAACAGTATAAAATACATAGGCAAAAATGGACATATCTCAATGCAGAAAAAGACAAATTCATAGTTAAAATTGTGCAACAGGTTTTGCAGAACATTTTGCATATACCTTATAAGAGATGATGAACAAGTGAAAAATATTATTTAGAAATAAGAACTATAAACAACCCAAGTAGCAAACATGACCTCACTGACATATTAAATTCTTTAACCCAGTTGACAAACATTCTAAGGCCTGCTTTATACCTCTGTTTCTCAGGCTGTAGATGAAGGGGTTCAGCATAGGGGTAACTACTGTATACATAACTGCAGCAGTTATATCTTTGGAATCCCATGATGAGGACAAAAAGTAAACACCAGCAAGTGTCCCAAAGTATAAAGACACCACAAGGAGATGGGAGCCACAGGTAGAAAAGGCTTTCAAGAGTCTCTTAGTAGAGGGAGCCTTCAGAATGATGGTTCCTATACGAATATATGAGCCCAAAACAATAGCCAAAGGCAAAAATAAAAGCATTCCTCCTTCAGTGAAGATGACCAGCTCATTGAGGGAGATGTCTGAGCAGCTGAGCTTCAGGAGCACACTGAGTTCACAGAAGAAGTGGGTGATGACATTGTTTGCACAGAAGGACAGTTGGACAATCAGGACTGTGTGCAAGAGGGCGTTGCCACAGGAGATAATCCAGGATCCAGCCACCAGCAGCACACACAGCTCCTTCTTCACAATGGTGGTGTAGTGTAGAGGGTGACAAATGGCCACATACCTGTCATATGCCATGATGGCAAGAAGTAAATTGTCAAGACCACCAAAAACTAAGAAAAAATACAACTGGGAAATGCAGCCCACATAGGGAATGCACTGTTGCTGTGTGTGCATATTCATTAGCATCTTAGGAACAGTGACAGATGACATAGAAATATCAGAGAAGGCCAAGTGGCTGAGGAAGAAGTACATGGGTGTGTGCAGGCGGGAGTCCAGCTTGATGAGCAGGATGATGAGCAGATTTCCCAGCACTGTAGTCAGGTACATGCCCAGGAACAGGGCGAAGAACACACTTTGCTGACCTATCCTGATGGGCAGCCCCAGGAGGAGGAACTCAGACACACTGCTCTGATTGTCCTTCATCATCGTCCTCCTCTGTCTGAGGGGGATGAAAGGACAGTGTAAAAATGCAGAGATTTTTGAAGGGTGATTTTGGCCCCCACAGTGGGTTACTTATTTTCTCTTGAAAAAAAGGAATAACACCTTGCATTCATATCATTGAGTAGTGCTGCCAAAGCAGGCATCATACCCTCAATGACCTGCATGATTTCTTTCAGATGAAATCAGAGCAAATTCATTTTTCTTATTGTTTTAATCAACCAGGTTCCTGGCACTATGCTAATAATTTGAGATGCAATAATAAATGGGGCACACAGGAGCTCTTCTTTTAGCTTCCCAGCTCTCTGGGAACACTGGCAGGAGTGACTAATGGTAAGCAAGGCAGCCAGTTTCCCTGTGCTGCTAGTCTGTCCCCACCATTTTCTAGGTGGATGACTTGAGCAGCTGAATCTCTCACAACCTCAGGTTGTAGTACTGTAATGTGAAGATTCCAATATCACACTTTTGTAGAATTAATTAGGGGATTCTAATTCCAGACACATCAATGTCTAGGAACAGTGCCCTATATAAAATAAACACAAAATTTTAGTAATTGTTTATATGACGGGATAACTATCCAAATAACCAAGGTCCAATGCAGGAATTTAGTCAACATGAGATGTATGAGAAGTCAGCATGAATGTTCAAGTGGTGCTGCCTTAACTGAACTCTCACCATCTCAGGGGGAGTTTCTAAGCTCACAGCTGTCATTGGGGTAAATTCCCTTCCCTGGTGATAACACTTCAAGTCTATATTCATCTGTTTGCCAAAATGTAAACATTACTTCAGTTCCTTCATCTCTATCTGAATTTGGTGCCTCAAGTAGGCTCAGAAATGAGTATTGCTAGACAGCAAGACACCTGAGATCTGCAATTGAGCACTGGGGACACTGAAGCATGGGAAGTGCCTAGAAGAATTCAGTTACCTGCTTGACCATCATTCTTTCCCAGTACTGAACTTCACATTTATAATAATTGGCATTGAATGAATAGTATGTCAAGCAAATACATTATTTTCACATTATTGCCCAATTAAATTTTCAGTAGTCCTAGGAGCTATTATTAAAACTTCATTAAATATGTCATGAAGCAAGGACCTACTAGTAACTGCTAAGGTCACAATTTTTTCTGTGTCTTAAATTTATTAAAATTCTTGCTCCTCTAATCCTACAGTTTCTCCCTCTCTTTAATTATACAAAAGATCCAAGGCCTTAACAAATATCATTTCAGGATTTAAGGGAGTCCTTCTGCTCCAATAATGGTCGCCACTCATGTTCCTGTAGCCCTTTAGTTTGCAAGTGGTTGCATGTACCTTCACTTTTAGTCAACTCACAGAGTTTGTTCCATATCTGAGAAACAGAGAAGACAGTGATTCTTTTTTTTTTTTTTCATTTACTATCAGGAGTAGTGAAATAGCTTACAGAATTCCACATATACATCACATAGTGGAGCTTGGACTCAAAGGTAGATTTTCTGATACTTTGTTCATTAGGAAGAGAATCCACAAAATTCTTCCCATGGGAGGAAAAACATTAAATGAAAATTCAATGTTAAAATATCCACATACTTGGGAAAGGAACTTTATATGGATATTGTTGTGTGAGTAGCTGACCAGGTAAGTACCCCAGGCAGTAACTGAGATCTCTAGCATGTCCTGGACAAACCCAATTTGAAGCGAAGGGAACAGTGCAGAGGTGCTGCCAGATTCCTTCAGTGCCACGAGTAAAAGAGGAGACTAGGGACACACTGTGTCATGAAGAAGAGAACCTGCTACCAGGAGGTTGGGGAGAGTCTTTGGACTGGCCTCGTTTTCCTATCTTTGTACCAAGTCTCATCTCATGAGAGGTCATGAAATGGACAGTCAGCTGGCTCAACCTCTAGAAGGCTACAGTTTCCTAAGTGCTGGCAATGTGCCCTGAACTGAAGCACCTACCTACAAGATTTTATAGCAATTAAAATTATTCCGGTTGATAGTGGAGGCTGATGGACAACACAGGGCAATGCCAAGAGTTTATGTAGACACCTGCAACATCAGAAATGAGCATTTAGTATCTAAACTATGTAACAAAATTGCATAAGAGTGTCAAAACTACTGGGCTTCCAGGGGCCCTCCTGTGTTATTCAAATCACTGAAAAATGGCCCCCAAATGATTTTGAAAATAGGATTATTTTGAAGCTGCCTTGTGGATTCTAGTATGTAGCAAGTACAGAGTCCAAATGTATCAAAACAATGTTTTTGGCCTATTTTTTTGCATATCTAGGTTTTAAGTCTCTATCCTACACATCTTCTATGTGAAGGATCAAGGTGTGAGTTTGTTATACACGAAAGCACTCCCACACTTTCACAGTCACACACTTACCAAAGGAGATGTACAGACTTCTCTCTCTAGTTTATACTCAGGTTAGTTAAATACATTCACAGTGTGAGTCAACGTCTCAGAAACCTGTGCAAAACTCACACTCCTGACATTCTCACATGTGTAACACAGTGCACAGAGCACTATCAAGCTTCTCCACCACACACATAGTAATCACCAGAAGCCACACATATTCAAATCACAAGTGATGCACAAGGTCTCACAGACAGCACATGAACAACAAAACACAAGTATAATGAAGGCTCACGTGACTGAGGAAGTTTCCAGCCTCCCTTGATCTACATAGGTCCCGGGTGGTGGCATTCTATGTGTGAGTCAGCAACATACACACACACAAAGTCATACAATGCACCCACAAACAACTGTGCCTATTTCTGGGCCCCTTCTGATGTATACCAGTGCTATGATCCTGATACCTTGTGCTTCGTATTGTTACCCGGATCCTCACTTTCTGTGCAGCAGACTTGGGATTAAAGGAGAGAGAGCAGACCACAGTGGCCCAAGGACTGCTGCTGACTTTCATGTCTGTTTGTCGGCTTCAAAACGTCAGGCAGAAGATCTCCTTTTACACACAGAGACCCCAGAGGGAAGCATCCCCAAGTCCCTGACTAGAGCAGCAGTCCACTTGGGATAATTGCCCAACTACTCCCGGGCCCTTGGGAAGGAGCCTGTTTGGGGTCCACAGGGGCTGAGCTGCAACTGGAGTCACAGGAGAGAGTGTCCTTAATGTCAGTGATGCCTCAGGCTTCTGATCAGGTCTCCAGGTGGGAAGGGGGAGGGGCCCAGGTGGCATCTCGTTCTGATTGAGCTTCTCTGCACAGCAGCACATGGCCCAGGCAGTATGTGGGCTTCAGCAGACTCCCACAACATGACACAGACCTCCCCTGGAACACAAAGCTCCTTCGAAGGGGCTGCTCTATTTACTCCTCTGTAGGGGCCTGGAGGGTACAGTGTGTGCCTTGTCTTGGGGTAAGATGATTGAGTCTATGCACTCTGGAGAAAAGACTCAGGGCTGCCCCCACCATTTACCAAGAGTAAATACCCAAGTAATTACTCAGAGGTCTCTGAGACTCAGGTTCTTCTAAGTGGAAATAATAATAGTGGTCTCCATGTGAGTTTGAAGGATGATAAATGAGAGTGTAATAAAAGACTACTAAATGTTGAGGGTCATAGTCAATGTCTGTGTATCCCTAGGGATCAGCTATAGCTTGAGTAGGCATTTGTAATGTAGAATGAATTTATTTGTTCATTCATTCACTCATTCCCTTAAATAATTAGTAAAGTTGTCCCAAAGTAAGACAGTAATATATACTCTGGACACATAGCGGGGAATGACATAGAAATTCTTCTTGAAGAACACATGTGAATGTATAGGGGAGTCACAAAAAATGTAGGCAGAACAAATGATGGGTAAATGGCCAAAGTTGCTGGGATATAATAAAAATCAGGTTTCAAGCTCGGGAGAATCCTAAATGTCCATGAACAGGTGAATGGGCACAATAGTGGTGGTACATCTATGCAGTGGAGTGATACTTGACAATAAAAAGAAGGAACTAATGAGCACCAGAATGTAACATATATTGATGCATATTACAACATAGGTGAATCTCAAATGCTTATGCCCAGTGAAAGAAGACAGCAGTAAGAGAATATATTCTGTATGGTTCCAGTTAGAGAAAATTTAGGAAGATGCAACCTATTCAATGTAAACAAAGCAGATCAGCAATCCCCCTGGGTGGCAGCTGGGATCAGCAAAGAGTGAGCAGGCGTAGGCATGAGGAGACTACATGATCCCGACAGCTTGTAGTGACAGTTTCATGGGCGTTTACCTATGCTCAAACTAATCAACTTGTATACTTTAAATATATGAAATCTATTGTATTCATGTATACCTCAAAAAAGCTAGGTGTTTGTTAAAGAAACAGTAACAAAATTAAGTATACTTATGTTATTCCTCTATTGAATACCTTCCAGTGTATTCCCAAATTACTTACACTGAATACCAAAAACTCTATTATGATGCCTCAATTTTATGTGTTAACTTGGCTCAACTATGGTACTTGGTTAATTGGGTCAAACATTATTCTGGATGTTTCTACGAAGGTTTTTTCATTTAGGATGGGATTAGCATTGCAATTAGCAGACTCTGAGTAAAGCAGACTGCCCTACATATTGTAGGAGGACCTCATCCAGTCAGTTGGGGGCAATAGGAAAGAGACTGACTGCCCCCAAAGAAGAGACAAAGTTGTCAGCAGATGTCTTTAGTCTCAAATTGCAACTTCTCCCCACCTCAGCAATCTCTCATTCATTGTACCCTGTGGAGTTTGGACTACGGGCCTCTACAACTGCATGAACCAATTCCTTAAATTAAATCTCTCTTCCTACACACACACACACACACACACTATCAGTTCTATTTCTCTGGAGACCCTGGACTAATACACCTGTTGATACTGTGACTGTTAAGTGCCCTACAGATCTGTTCTGCTGATATCTCTAAACTTAGCACCTCCCGTCCCTCCAGAACTCCACCCTGTCCAGCTCCAGAGGCCCCCTCAGTGTTCCCACAATGGACCAGGCACCATCTCACTTCAGAGCATCTAATTGCTGATTTTCATGC